TAGCACCCAGCTCAGTAAGGTCTTAGCAGCATTTAGGCTTCTAACAAGTTTGGGTAGGTTCTAACACTGTACAGAAGCTTGTCATAGAGAAAAAAAAATGTATTTAGTCTTTCTGTAATGAGAATTTCAACTAATCAGAGCTCAGAAAGTCAGAAAGAGAAAACAAGCTTTGTTTTTGTTTCAGTAAAAATAAACATGTCATTCCCAAGAAGCAGTCAGATTCTGTTAGGGCATCTGACAAGTGATAACAGAATCTGCTAGATGTTTTGCATCAAAAAATCCTGTAAGATTCAGAACAGACAAAAAATTTGCACCTGTAAAAATACAATATCATACCAAATACTAAATTATCGCACGACTGAAGTAGAGAAAGAAAAAAGCCTGAAGCTTAGCAGTACAAAGTGTGGGGTTACACGCTTAACGTTCAGTAGAAATTTATGGAAAAAAATGGGATCTTTTAAAAATATGTGAGAAGAAAGTGGGACTACTACACCAAGTGATTAAACTGTGACTGTGCAAAGACATAAAAAAGAAATATCTACCTTAGTAGACACTGGTCAAAGTATTTTCTTGTAGAGAAAAGAAAGCTTCAATGTTATTCAAGGTCTTGAGGAGGTTTTACCTGGAACAGTGGTTGCATTGATTCAAAGAATAAATTCCAGTGGAAACAGCGAGGAGTTGTTTGACACAACACTTCTTGTTGGATTGTCTTAAGTGATGAGACTAAATTCTGAGGCTTTTTTGGGTGAAATAACATAATCATAACATGGGGAGGAACAAAAAGTCTAAGGGAGGATCAGATGTACAGAAGAGCTATTTTAATAGCAGTACCAAAAAAAAGACAACAGGTAAAGTGAATAGTAGATCAATCTGGAATACCTCACCAACAAGGTCATGGGACAGTATGCTATCTAGTTTTAAGATAGAACTTGATGAGTTGGTATAAGGGGTTGGCACTAGACTCCAGGAGTCCCTTTCTAATCTGACACTGCTGTATTTCTTCATGTGTCTATGAGAACAGAAAGAAAAGAAATTACTTCTTGTATTAAAATTAACCAACATGGCCAAATTACCAAAGATGTTCTAAAGAATAACTAATATATGGAATAGGGAAGTAATCTGCTGTATGTTGATGAGATCCTCAGTTTAACTGACAAAACTTTTAAGCTAGTTAATGATAAAACTAACTACTAACATTCTCTAGCCTACAAGCAATTAAGAAGATTTATAATAATTTTTTGTCTAAGCTCTTCCATACTTGTCACCTTGTCACCAAGGAAAGAATGAACAGAGACTTGAGTAATTTCAATTTCCTTCTCATAAACCACTTGAAGTTTATGGTTGCTGCTCCAAAGAGAAGATTTATGAAGTACAATTCATGCAGCAACCTCTGTAAGCAGCAAAGGTTACTTCTATTAATTTTACTTTAGAATTTAAATCCACAAGTCTGGTTGAAACTATCATTCCCTCAGCAATTGCAGGCAATATCACTCCTCCCACTATAGGTCATGCCTGCCTGAAGGGAAGAACGTATTGCAAAAATAAGGTTTTCAGCAACCCAAATACTATCTTAAACATTATTCTTAGATTCCAGACTAAAAGAAAATTCACTCCTCCTTTTCCAACAACCTATTGTCAGTTGTAGGAAGAATTTTTGAGCTGGAGAATAATCAGGGGCTGGATATTTTAGAAAACACTTGACCATGACATTTCTACTCAAAGACCATTTTTGCATCCTTCCCTGTGATAGCCCTTGGCCTCAGGTCTCAAAGAAATAATTCAGCCCAGTAGAAAAAGAAAGATGCTAGGCATGAATCCCTAGATTCCCTGACACTCATAAACTGTTTTTCGTTTGCCCCTTTTTTTTGGCTTTGTTGGAGGTTTTATTTTGGGGGCTGGGGTTTGGGGGGGCATTGTTTGGTTTTGTTGTTTGTTTGTTACTTATGAAGTAAGACCTTCTGTTCTTTTTTGTTGTTTCATTCAAGTTCAGACTCCTACAGCTTTATGGTATCTGATGGAGACTAATTGAGGGATACAGGATAGAGAAAATAATATTCTAACACTTAAAAAGAAGTTGCTTTCACTCCCCTATCCCAAATAGTTAATTTCTGTCATAATGCAATCATATAATGAAATAATTAGAGTGAAAGGAATCAAAATTATTAGAGACTTTTAGATATCTAATAGAACACAAGGTATGGTATAGTTATGGTATTCTTTAGCCACACATTAATTATATCACTGTTTTGTTTCTCCTTTGTGCCAAGGCATAAAGCTAATTTTATTTAAAAAAAAATTTTGAAAATCTCTGTCAGAGAGGACCATTACCCAGGGATGAGAAGTCTGGCTTTCTCACTTTCCCCCCACCTCTGGTGTAGCAGTGAACACATTGAACACATGAGAGCAGAGAACACATTTCACCCGAACACCGGAGCATACTTGTGATAGACTGAACTGAACGAGAGACATGTGATTCAAGAAGATATTTTTGTGAGACAGATTTAGAAGGAAAAAAAACAAACTTTCAAATATGCTGAAAGTGAAGAAAAGTGTTTAAAACTGAAATAGGATTCAAGTATTTTTTTCTTTTCAAGCTACTCCTGGTTGAATAGACACTGTAAACATCAAAGGGACTACCTTTAAAAGACAAATAATGCCTCTAAGAGAACCAATTTACAACCCCTCTTCTCCATGAATTATTCAGATTTTAGCAAAAGCAAACTCTTTGGAAAAGATCACACAACTCTTACGAGATTTTCCTCAAAGGGAAAGGACACTTAAAAAATCATTCTTAAACTGAGAATTGAGTTCCTCTATGGCTTTTCCATCCAAAAGTACACCTATTTCAGTAATACTTTCAGAACTATTGCATCTGTGCATTTCTGGACTGCACTGCAATATTCCACATCAGAAGGCAAGCTAAATCCTCTCACTGTCTGCCATAAGTCTCCCATTAATTTCAATAATGCATTTAAAGCTTTTTTTTTTTTTTTTTGAGAAATTTTAGAGATATGTATTGGTATTTAGCAGAGTTAAATGCAGTGATGTCAATAGCAGTCTGAAACATTATGGCATGCAGTACTCATTCTGCATTTTCTGCATTACAGTTACTAACATCCCCTACTTTATTGGTAGTTCAACAGGAAAAAGAGATGACCCAAATTAGGTTATTATTATAAGACATAACACAAGAATCTGAATATATATAACTTCCTGCCTGGAAAGATTTTCATCATGTCACTTTAACCTTTAATAGAAATTATTAAATATTTCTAAAAATGTATGGTTACTTACTTTACGTATAAGAATAAAAGAACAAATCCAAAGTTTCTTTGAACTTTATTAAAACTTTTACGTAGCCCTTGAACACAGAGTTCTAAACAATTAGAGAAGTGCAAATATTAAATCAAGTCATTTAGCCATTTTCCTACTGAAATCTCCTGCTCTGTAATGAATGTCATTCTTCCTAAACCAAAGCTGTATACACATACCTCTATTCCCTAGCTTGCCCCCAAATCCTTCACCTCAATTGTTCCCTCAGAATAGACAGAACAATTTTCAAGTCCTGCCAGTGTAACCTGAGACAAGAATGAGGCAAAGACTCAGCAAATATGAATAAGTACGGAATCAAAGAGTTGATACTTGTATTCATGCAATAAACATGATTTTCAGGCAGATATATTGGTTGATCCCTTCTTTCATGATACCATGTTCAGTTAAATAGCGTTATTACTAAAAATTCTAAAGCGTTTTATTCACCTCGTTGTTTCTCATCCTTCCAAATGCTATGTGAAACTACTATCCCAGAAACCAAGTATGCTAGAAGTACTAACCAAATTACAAATCACAACAGGTAGAGATGAGAAATAAGAAGTGATATTTCAAGAACATCCTAAAGTGAATTATCCTGGGCCTTTTGTCTTAAACATCCATAGATTGTGTAGAAGGAAATAAAGAGGAAAAAAAAAAAAAGGAAAAAAAAAGGAAGTTAAAATAAAGGGATATGTGAATAAATACTAAAAGAGGCAAATATGCAACTTATTGTTTACTTGAAAGCTCTTTTTTTTTTTTAAATCAGACTGCTTTTCAAATAGCTCAGTGTTACAGCTTACCTAAGAATACACACAGTAAAACAACAACACAAATAAAGCACAAAAGGCAGCATCAGAGGGAGGGTGGGGAATAAACACCAGCTGACAAGTGTTCTGCAAGATGCTTGTGACAAATGAACTCTTTGAAAGGACAATTATCAACTGTAGAGGTAAATTAATATTTTATCTTCATAGAACAAGCACTGTGTCCATTTCTGTCACCTGTATTTCAAGCTTTTTATAATTTTTTATAATTTATAATTTTATAATTCTTAGGAGGTTTAAAAGCCAAACAGAGCAAAACAGAACACAAAAATTTGTTTGAGGTCCGAGAGGCAGATTGAGTTAGGTTTTTGTAAAAGATCAGCATATTTAATTCAAGAGCAAAATCAGTGATTTCCCCTAATTAAATCTACAGATAAAGAATGATTTCTAGCTGTAGATAATCCTTTAACTCAAGCAGAAGTATAAAGATGACCTAGCGTATGGGAGCCGAAGTAAAGTCAGATTAAGGATAAAGGTAAGTTCAGAACAGCATTTTTAGATACATGAATATATACTGTATCACCTGAAGTTTTCTAGATAAAAACTTTGTAAAAAGCAGTACAATAGAATATTCCCACAGCATCCGTTTGGTTTAGAAATTACTATTCTGTTGGCTTGCATTACAGAGGCTAAGAGAACAACAAATTAATTATTCTGATAAAAAAATTCAGGTAACTAATATATGGGCTTTGAGGTATCACTAGTTACATAATTAGAAGTATTTTTTGCAAACGTACATAGTGCCGCACTTTGAGATATTTTTAAAAGTTACTACAATTTAAAGTGAATAAATAAATCCAACAGCAAAGAATTTTTAGAAATATTTTTCTTTAATTTGTCTTTAAGACAAGAATCACATTTTTAAACATCTAAGAGTTGTTGTAAGATAAATAATACAGACTACATATAAGATACTTTATTTAAAAATTAAGATGTTAGTAAGTGCCTAGCTACTACACAACAAGTAAAAGACAAAGTATTTTTAAATGCTCATTTTTTAAAAAACAAAAATATACTATATTGATTAAGATATATACATGAGAAGTTATCTTGGTAAGTCAGCAAGAACAAGTTGAATGAAACTTTCAAAATGCATATCTTTATACGAAATATAAAGAAATAAAATATATTAAAAGGAACAAGATTAGGAATTTATGGGAAGGGGAATTAAATGCAAGGAGTTGCATGCCTTACAAATTTAGAGTCTTTTTAAATTTCTTTTGCTTTGGGCACTTCCTGGGGGAGCATCTTTTTTGTTCTTCCGTTTTGCAGATAAACTGTTACATTCTTTTGACCCATGGAAGGCATGCAGACATAAAATACAGAACTCAAATGCACATGCCTCTCTGCTACAGAGTCCCCGATTCTTTACCAGCTGATATTTAGCGGGGTATTGACATCTTGGGCAGGGTTTTAGAGCTTCATCAGTGAACAGAGTTTTAGCAACCTGTAGCAAGAGGAGGGAGAAAAGAGCTACTTAGTTCTTGTAAATAAGAACTTCCTAAAAACTGAAAGTGAAGCATTTCTTAGATACCTACTTTGAGGTATTCTTCCTGTCTGCTGGCTGAGTAACTTGTGTTACTGGGGGTAATTTCAGTGTACGAAGGTGGGGTTTGTAGTACAGGAGTTCTGGCTTGAGCTTGAACAGGCCTTAGAGCAGATCTATTGAGAATATTAAGTCTTGTGGCAGCATCTTCAGCCTTTAATAAATATTCCTGTTAGTTTATAAAGAAAATTAAAAAAAAAAAAATTAGGGTTTTATTTCATTTGGAATTTGCAACTGGATTTCACTTGTTTGGGTTCGCCCCCCCCCCCCCCCCCGCAACAACACCTTAGAAAAGGAAATTATGTATAGTGCAAATATTTCCCATTAAATGTTTATATTTACTAAGGGAGAAAGAGACAGGAATCATTAAAAACTAAGTACCATGAGCAGGGTAAAAAGCCAACTTTTAGCACACACTACTAGTGCACACATTTCTGAATTAGGATGCATCTCAATAGCAAGTAAGGAAATAGCAAACACAGCCTTTGTCACGTTTAAAGCAAGGTTACACTGAAGTGTGAGTGTATCATGGGGAGGATCTGAAAAAAATATACTGCTTTAGTATGTTTACTTTTCTAGATACCCCTTAAAAAACCTCAGAATGTCCTTCTGATGTTCACAAACACACTGTGATGCTTAGCCACAAGCAGTCCTGAAAATAATCGGGAAGTATTCTAGAGTGGGTCCTACAGCATGGAACAATGCTATGAACAGAGTTTAAAAATATAAAGCCAAAATCAGTCAAAGGATTCTCAGGAAGGAGCCGGAGGGGGAAAGAAATAGTCTTACATTGTTGAAAGACTAGTACTCAAACTGCAAACAGCTGAAAAGCAATAAGAGCCATTACATTCTCCTGTTAGAATCCTTCACATACTCATGTTGGAATTGTCTCTTATCAGCTCCCTTTCTATAAATTTACAAGATGTTTCCTCTTTCCTTTGACCTGTCTTCTTTCACGCTTGAAAAAAAAAAAAAAATCACTTTTGAGAACCACCTTACCCCAGCTTCTTCTTTCTGCTGTTTTATGTACAACTTTCTCTTCTTATCTGCCCTTTTATCTTGTACAACAATTTCACGCCAGCTTTTGCTTACTTTCCAAATGCTGGAACAAATGAATGAAAAAAATTATTCACTTTCACTTTTTTTTTCCAAGTAGTACAGAAGTCATGACAGCAAGACTACCTGGTAAATGTCTTTGCACAGCTTCATATACTTTGGTAATTTTACAGACTAGTTCATGATATTGTTAAGAGACACAGATCTCATATTGTCATGCACCACTCTATGGAATAAGAGAAGAGTCTAAAGAACAATTGCAATATAAATAACCGAGCATAGCTTTGACTTAGAAAATTAAATCAGTTTCTTCCCTCCACTTACCAAGCCACTTACCAAGATTGTTTCTCAAGTCGCATTTTTGTGTTGAATGATCTGAAAAGATCCATACCCTTGCACTTTCACCTATTCACCCCTTCCCTTTGTAACTAACAACACATGACACTCTTGATTTCTTTGAAATGCGACAATTTCTATTGATTATTATTTAATCTAGAAGATTTCTCATTAATTGAAATTCTTGGAGCATTTTTGTGCTTGGAAATAACTAAGGAAATAAAATGCACAAGAAAATATATAGAAAATGTGTTTTGAGTACTATGCACTATTGAGGAACTTGTAATGAGAATAAATTACTTTCTAGGCTTCAAGGAATTTTTAATATATTTTAAATTTTACAAGTACTCTGATTTAGTTTTAAGTTTATTAATTTTAATGTTTGATTTGCTTTTTTAATTCCTTTACATACTTTTAGAACTACACAGAAAGACCTACTTGATTAATGGTGACCAAAACCAAATGAATTATACTGACAACACCTAGTATGCTAGAAGTTATTCTAATTCATTTGCAGGAGCTCATATTTTTGCCTTTTCATATATGTGTGTGTCTGTGTGTGTGTGTGTGAAGCCATTGTACTTACCTGCATAGACTTTCCACTGTCAAAGCATCTAAAACTATAGCTAGAACGTGTTTTAAATTTCTGTCTTTTAATTCTGTTAAAATATCTAATTTTTCAAGGCCCATTTTCTTGCCAATAAGTCCAGGAAGAACATGATCTAATGCAAATATTTCTGTTCCATCAATATTCTCTGATATTTGCTTTTGGTCCGATCTTTGTCTTTGCAAGCAAATTTCATGAACTATTTTCAGAGCTGGAGTTCTTGAGAGATCTCCATGACTTACAACCAGGTCTCTACTAGGCTGTTCTTTTAGAATTAATTCATGATCTTCCCTGACAAAATTTCTTTCTTCTGTTAATATATGCATTGAAGTAGGACTGCCATGATTATCTTCTGTCTCTGAATGTGAGCCCTGTTCCTGAAGAGTGGATAACCTTCTAACTCGTTCAAGTTTTCTTGTCTTTCTTTTATTATCTAGAATTTTGGAATCTTCTTTGTGCTTTTGGAAGAGCTCTTGGAAAGATCCCTCATGATCAGACAATGAGTCTCCCGATTTGTCCAAAGGAAGTGAATTATATCCACTATCCTCAGGAGTTGAAAGGTCTGGGTAATTTGCCACCTTAACAGGGGGAGAGTTTATATCACATAGTCCAAAATTCAAGTTCTCCACAGGACTGTTGATAGAAGTCAGGAATTTACTTTCATTGGCCTCATTGTAAGTAAGAGTCCTAAGCACCCCGTCACTAACTCTCACAAGAACACTTCCACTGAACTCATTTGCATTACTAACAATTACATCCTTACACTGAATTGGAGATAAACTTTCTGATTCTAGCAATAAGGGGCCCTTACACTGGGACTCATCTACTGTAGAAGTCCTTTGTTGTGAAAAGGAAATTCTCCATTTTGAGAAACGAGGATTAGAGCCTTCAGGTTTTGAAGTGCTAGTTGTCAGAGGTTTGTAACTTTTATCTTTTGGAGAATCTGCAGTAGTTTTTGAAACTTTTTCTTCAGAGTTCAAAACAGAAGAGAATTTTTTTTTCCTGATGCTTCCTGCAGAATTAGCTTGCCTTTCACAGCTTTCTACAGTTGTGCCAGCTTCAACAGTCTTGGGTAAAAGCAGCCTCCTGCGTAGTGAAGAGCTTTTTCTACTTGATTTAGGACTTTCGAAAACATCTGCACTTCCATTTGCTTCTCTTTCTTCTGATATGGAAATAGAATTCAGTTCTTTTTCAATAGATAATGACACGGGAACGAAGGCATTTGGATTAATGTGCTCAGAGTGCCCTTGTAGCAACGATATACTTGTTACACTTGGTGCTTCTTTATGTTCTGCATCAGGATCTTTTACTGACTCTTTGCATCTGCTGTCCAGAAATGCTGAAGTGCAACACATGTCTTTAAAATCTGAGTAATTAAAATTGCCGCTGGGAGATGTTAATCTATTTTTTTTAAGAATATTGAGCTTCACTGAATGACTGTCTGACATCTTCTGCTTGACACTTTGGCTTTGTAAAAGAAGATACCAGTGTTGTTCCTGAAACAAACAATAACAAACGAGTCGCCAAAACACCCACAGATTCATGAGAAAGTCCTGTGTAAGTCTATCAAGACAGCAGCCATGACAGAAGTATTTTCATTAGTCTTAGTAGAAACTGCTTATAAATTAACACAAATATAAATTACTATCAAGTAGATGGTTAGAATGAGTGATTAAAATGCACAGTATACTGCTGGGCAAATTCAAACTTATATCCAGTTAGCTAATTGATGTGCCAGTCCTCATCCGTGGAAAAACACTTCAAATAAGCAACACAGAATTTAGAGCTTCATTGGTGCTGAAATTGGCAACAAAATCCTCTAGCATTCCAATAGGGCCAAGATTTTTATTAGCACTGGGTTACTGATTCATCCAACACGAACAGTTCAGTCCCCAAGAATAAGCAGAAGCTCTAGTAATAGGTGAGTTTAGACAAAAGGCATTTTCTCCTTAAGTAAAATAAGAGTATTAATCATGAAATCACAAGTCTACAATCTCCCTATTATTCAGATCCCTACAGTCCCTGGAGGGAATAAATTTCAAAGTGAAAAGTGCATTTTTGTCTTCCTCAGCATTTAAATGTTATTTTGTAAAGAAAGTCTCTGCTTTTGCTCAGCTCTGTGGGTAAACAGTGTTCTGAAGCTTTACACTTCAAACAAACTGATGAACTGACCATTAACACACTCAACAGCTACAGATCATTTAAGAGCTACTATATATGCTCTTAGAAAAGTTAGAAGTGGTTGATACACACATCAGGGGTGGAAAAGATGCATGGAAATAACCTTACTTTTCACAATTCATAAGTGGCAGTTTCTCCACCATAACCCCCAGTGGCACTGGGTCACTGCTTTCTGCGCACAAGACATGATAACTGTATAAAAGATGTTATGAGTAATGGCAGAAGGAGGGCTGTTCTCACAGACACCAGAGTAATTCCCCTCAACACTCAAAAGACTCAGAGCAGGAATCAGCACCTCTCACTGAGGTGTGTTACTGGCCTCCAGAACTGATATTTTGAAACATAAAACCTGGAAACAGCAAGTGAACTTTCAAACCAGACAAAAATAGGAATCTTTAAATACGGCTTAAACACCAAATACTAAGACATTGCTAATATTCCAACAGTCCTGACTTAGTCAAGCCCTAAGCCACCAAATACAAACAGTGGGAACCCCAACTAAGACGGATAAGGGGGGGATTACTCTTTGTTGATCTTGAACCATTAACATTTTTTACCCATGCTGAAGGCACATTTTTAGACCATTGCCATATAGAAAATGCTTTGTTTTGTTTTCTACTGTAAGGAGATAGCAAGATATAGAAGTTCAAAAAGAATAGGATGTTAAACAGCAGACAGTAACACCTTAGCATAAAGACCTACACAATCTTGCTAACATCAGTATGAACACAAACAGGTTTAAAACAAGCAAACAAAAAACCTGACCAACATAACTGAGAAAAATTCTTCCAGGAAAGAAGGGTATGTGAAAATAATTTCAAGACAACAACAAGATCTGAAGTCTGACCTCCTTCCTTTCCTTCCCTCATTTACCTCTACAAGTACTTTACTTTCACATTTGTTTGTTTTCATCACTGTTTTTTCCTCATTCCCTGTTTTATTCAGTGAAATAAATGACAGCGCAAACAGGAAACATGAGGGCATAGCTTTAAGCTAGTGCTTACGTGAATTAGGGACAACTTTGCCATTGCAGGACCAACTCCAAACAGCATCTAGTATTTTATCTACATCACTTCTCAATGTTTTAGTAGACCTGTCTGGTCAATACCAGACCCAGTATTGTTCAACTTATTCATCAATGCCTTGGATGAAGGGCAAATGCCTTCTCAGCAAGTTTGCTGACAACACAAAGCTGGGAGGAGTGGCCGATACCCCAGAGGGCTGTGCAGCCCTTCAGAAGGACCTGGACACGCTGGAGAGATGGGCACAGAAGATCCCTCTGAAATTCAGCAAAGGCAAGTGCAGGGTCCTGTACCTGGGGAGGAATAACCCCCTTCACCAGTATAGGCTGGGCTGACCTGCTAGAAAGCAGTTCTGGGGAGAAGGACCTGGGGGTCCTGGTGGGCAACAACTTGTCCATGAGCCAGCACAGTGTCCTTGTGGCCAAGAAGGCCAAGGGCATCCTGGGGTGCATTAGGAAGAGTATTGCCAGCAAGCCAAAGGAGGTGATCCTGCCCCTCTAATCAGCTTTGGCAAGGCCTCACCTGGAGTGCTATGGCCAGTTCTGAACTTTCCAGTTCAAGAAAGACAAGGAAATACTGGAGAGAGTCCAGTGGAGCACTATGGACATGATGAGAGGACTGGAGAACCTCAGTTATGAGGAAAGGAGGAGAGAGATGGGCCTGTTGGGCCTGAAGAAGGGAAGACTGAGAGGGGACCTCATCAATGGCTGTAAGCATCTGCAGGGAAAGTGTCAGGAGGATGGAGTCAGGCTCTTCCCAGTGGTGTCAAGCAACAGGTCTCTTCTCAGAGGCAACCAGCAGTAGGACAAGAGGGCACAATCTTAAACTCTGCCAGGGGAAGTTTCCGTCGGATATTAGGAAGAAATTTTTTATGGAGAGAGTAATCAGACATTGGAATGGGCTACCCAGGGAAGTGGTGGATTCACCGTCCCTGGAGGTTTTTAAGATGAGACTGGTGTGGTACTTAGTGCCAAGGTCTAGTAACCACAGCAGTGTTGGATCAAGGGTTGGACTTGATGATCTCTGAGGTCTTTTCCAACCCAGTTGATTCTATGATTCTAAGAGGCTATATGCAGGAACTGGAACACAGGAAGTCCCACCTGAACACGAGGAAAAGCTTCTTTACTCTGAGGATGACAGAGCACTGGAACAGGCTGCCCAGAGAGGTTGTGGACTCTCCTTCTCTGGTGAGATTCAAAAGCTGCCTGAACACAATTCTGAGTGATGTGCTCTGGGGGCCCCTGCCTGAGCAGGGAGGTTGGACTAGATGCTCTCCAGTGATTCCTTCCACTTACCCATTCCGTGAGTCTGTGATTTTAGGCAATAGGCTGGAAATACTGTGTCATGGACTAGAAAATAACTTTACCCTATATTTTTAAAGGTATGAAGTCTCTGTGTGGTGCATTGCTGCATTTCAGTGGATTAGTCATGCTATGAGCAAAGGACTATACCAATACAGCTCTTCTTTTTGTAAGAGGAGGAAGACCTGTAAGAAACCTGCTGTAACAATATGGTGTTGTCTTTGTGTAGTTTACAAAAAAAATAGAGGCTCCATTTTTGTGCTGAATTTTGTGAACTGCAGTTAGTTAGCAAGTGTTGCCAGCAGATATTCTTTCCAAAAGTGTTGATGGGCAGAGGTTTAAAAGTCAATGCTACTTAGAGACAGCTGTTCAGAATCTCAATACTGGAAAAAAGGAACTCCACCAAAAAAAAATCCCATACCAAACCTGAACAAATAAACCAAAATCACATACCCACACTTACCTTTAAAAATATTAATATTTTCCTTAAACACAGTCACAGTGAAACTAAGCACACATCTAGCAAAAGCCCACAGGCTTCCAGGCTTAGAAAATTAATTTTCAGGCAGCAGGCTGAAGAAACAACAAGAGGAAAAACTCATGCTTGCAGCTTCATTCTCAGGCATCCCATAGGAGAAATTACCTAATATATCTGAACAAATGAGAGTAGAAAAGAATTAAAATATTACAGTAAAAAATAATTTAAGCAAACTTGTGTTTCAAGTAACATAAAAATCACAGCAAAACAAGGTTTTTGCAGCTGTAAGGGAGATCAAAATAGCAGAGTTAAAGGAACGTTCTTAAGCAAAAGCCAAAAATGTGCTGTGCATAGGGCAACGTCCGGCAGGGGGAGCCTGTGAGCTCATTGCATTGATTTGTATTTACATTACAGAATTTTATAGGATAATATAAATAAAATTGCCACTTCAGTACAGACATCGAATGAACAATGTCCAGCAAACCGCTTCATTTTACCTCTTTTCCACAATTCATCCTATACTACTTCATTCATTAATACTATTTTATACTTCATTTTACTTCTTTACCTTCTGCTCTTGTGAGGCCCCACCTGTAGTACCACGTTCAGCTCCGGAGCCCCCAAAATAAGGAGGACATGGACATGTTGGAGCAAATCCAGCGTAGGACATGAAAATGATCAGAGGGATGGAGTAATTCTGCTGTGAAAACTGGCTGAGAGCGTTGAGGTTGTTCAGCCCAGGGAAGTGAAGGCTGCAGGGAAACCTTGTTGTGGCCTTCCAGTACCTAATGGGGGGCCTGAAAGAAAGCTGGAGGGGGACTTTTTACAAGGCCATTTAGTGATAAGACAAGGGGTAATGGCTTTAAACTGAAAGAAGGCGGGTTTAGGTTACATGTTAGGAAGAAATTCTTCCTTTCAGGGCAATGGGACACTGCCACAGGTTGCCCAGAGAAGCTTTGGATGCTCCATCCCTGGCAGCATTCAAGGCCAGCCTGGATGGGACTCTGAGCAGCCTGGTCTAGTGGAAGGTGTCCCTGCCCACAGAAGGGTTTAGAACTAGGTGATCTTTAACATCCCTTCCAATATGAATCATTCTATGATCTACTGCAAATCCCAGTATACAGCTTGAGTTTGTATGTGCATTAATTTTTTTTTTTCCAGAATATATTACTTACACAAATTAAGATTTAACTCAACGCAAGATCTCATTTTACAAATACAGTACAAAATAGGAAGCCTTTCAGAAGTGCTGAACAGCTCTCATAATAGGACAAGATAATATTTGTTTTCGTAAGAGGTGCCAAATAAAACCCCTTATAACTGAACTAACTTCTATAAGCAATTCTTTTTTACTGGAAGAAAAGTTTCATCTAGTAGGTTTGATACATAACATCAAGCCCTTTTCATCTGCGGATCTTGAGTAGTTCCTGAAAGTATTATTGAACTTGTCTTAGACATCATCACACAGACGTGCAGGGAAGAAAAGGCTGGTTACACAGCAGGTCAGTTACAGAGCAAATAACAAAATCTCTGTCTGCTAAGTGCAGATTCTTGGTGCTCTGTGCATTTCCCATATCTATTATTAATTTTGTAGTTCTCAGATCGATCTACAAATCAACTGCAAGCTTTCTGGAAGTTTAAGAGATTATTATAAAACATTATTATAAACTAAGTTGACCCAAACTAAATTCAGGATGGTATTCACATATTTAGACAAAGAATCATTTTTAACAAGGTTAGTCTTACAAAGCACTCCAAAGAGATAAAAAGTTGGTAACTAGAAGGCAATGTGCCACTTAGACATAAGTTCTAAGATGTTCCTGATACTAATTTACATTCCCCAGTAGCACAGACTGAACAATTATACCTTGAACAAGATGATTTCTGACTTCATTTATCACTGTTCATTATTATTAACAAAACAGATAAAGACAACAATTTGGTCGTACAAGAATATTTTCTCTGTTATTTAAACATACCATATCTGCAGTAAAACAGACTATCTGAAGACTCTGTTCTTGACCGCCCTGAGACAACAGAGAAGTCACTGATACCTTAAAAGATATTAATACTGAGGACTACATAGCTAAGTCCTGTCCAAGTTATGTGGGTCACTTACCCTAATTTGCGAAGCAGCTCAAGATCTTCCACAGTAAATGTGCGGTATTATAAGTATTGCTTCCCCTACTGATAACCTGAAGTGAGAAAGGATGTGAAGATAAGAGAGGTGTAAGACAAACGTTACCCAGCTGAGACGCAGTTTTCAGTCCACCTGTGTACGTGTGCAATGCCTAATTACCCAGGGACCAGCACCCAAGGGTCTCTCAGCCACCTGGGATGCCAGACACGAGCAAAGGAAGAGCTTCACCCCCTCATCTGGGAAATTTCTAGGCACAGGAGCAGAGCCTGGAAGCCGCCCTTCCACGGGGTGCGGCTGAGGCGGCAGCGGGGCCCCCCAAGCGGGGCTGAGGGCGGGCTGGAAGAGCGGGGCCGGTGCCGCCCCAGCAGCTCTGGCCGCCCAGCCCTGGGCCCGTTGCCCCTGGCGAGGAGCCGCTTCGCCTCTCCCCACCCACACCGGCCCCTCGCGTGCGGCCGCCGCCGCTTTCCCTCGCTCGGGTTTGAACTACCCGCCCTCACCAACCGCTGCCTCCCCGCCCCCTCCGCGCTGCGGGCCCGGGGCAGGGCGGGAGCCTGAAGAGAACGGGACAGCTCCGTTCGCTCCTCCGGGATGAGAGACAGTACACGGGAGGCTCGCTCGGCTCCTCACGCTTTATACTTGTGCTCTGCGGGCCCCGCCGCACCCAGCCCACTCTTAAAGCGCCCTTGGGTCGCTCCTGTACTGCTTCTCCTCAGGCGGCCGGCGTGGGTGAGGGCGAGGTTTTCCCGCCCCCGCTCCGCTCCCTGCGAGGAGGGGGCGCCAGCGCTGAGGGGCGGCTCAGGGAGGCGGGTGAATCGCGGCCGGGCAGACGCTTTCACAGATAACGACCCTTCTCTGCACCACAGCTTTTAAGCTTGAGTTGTAAGGGTGCTGATTAATTGGAGTTAATTAGTACGTTTGTGTTGGACGGTCCAGGACCGAAACAAGCATTTGTCAAGTGCATCGCCTTCAAAGCGGTCGGGTGAGAGATGCCCCGTGACGGCACCTGGGTTTTGCTGTGGGTTTAGTTTTTCTGCACACTAACCCTCCCCCCCACCACCACTAAACAAACACAAACTCACCAAACCCACGAATACGTGGATGCCTATTTTTCCTGGGCTGGTAAAGATAACGTAGGGCTACGCAGGCTCACCTACCTGCTGATTTCACATTGAGGATATGGGGACTGTCAGTTCCGAACGAGAGACCTACATTTAAAGAAGCTCAAAACTCAAGGCTTTCCGAAGAAACGCCGAAATTAAGTCACGTAATCTCTGTAGGTGAGATCGGGCAAGTTCTCGACCTTCCCTTTTGGCAAATCCGCTTCCCCAGCCTCTCGCAGCCTCCGGGCGCTGATACAAGACAGCCTGAGAAGGGCTCGAGTAAACATTGGTTTAAAAGTTCCTGACCCAGAGCCGGCGAAAACTGACATTTTTATGTAAAGAATATCGGTTTATGTGACTACAAGGTAACAGCTGTGGCTAAAAAGAGAAAGGCTCTTGGGGTATATTAAAAGGATATTAAAAGAAGAAAACATTAGAAACTTTCGGGAATATAATAGAATTTTTTTGCAAGTGTAGTATCATCTATTTCACAGGAACTGGATAAAACTGTTTTTCAAATAGTTGTATTTATAAATAAATAAACTATCTTCTGAGTGAAATTGGCAGCTTGCCAGAGGGGCACGAGAGCTGCAAGCTGTGTCTTCATTCACTAAAGCCTCAACTCACTTATGCGAGTTGGATCAAAAATATTCAAGAAACGTAACAAGTTGTAATTGCGGCATTTGCTGCAATACACAGAAGCGTCACACCAAAAAGCGCGATTTTTTTTTTGTTGTTGTTAAAAAAAAGCATCCCAAAAAACAACAAAAACCAATCAATAAAACCAACTAAACACCCCGGAAAAAAAAACCAAACCAAACCAAAACAAAACAAAAAAAAAAAAAAAAAACCCTGAGAACACTATTTCTAAACAAGCAAAATAAGGTAAGACATTCTGCAACACCCGCGCCGCACCCGTCTATGCCTGCATTTTCTTCCCATCTCTAAAGTACCTGTACCCTTGTACCTTCCCACCTTGCCTCACGAGCCTTTCCTCTAGCTTTCCTACCAATTCTCTGAGAGCTTTACGGGACAGTGGAGGTCTCCTACATAGTCCCAACACTTTCTGCAACTCTAAATCCAAGCGGCATCTTTAGGGCTAGAGTTTATCAGCCCGAGGGAACGGGAGTTTGCTGTTAAAACGCCCCGCTCGAAGGGGGCGGGTTTTGTCGGAAACGGCTGAAGTAACCGAAGCTGGTAAAACATCCTATTTTTCCAAGAGAACAGTTGAAGGATGCAAATAATCGAGCAATTACATGACCACTTTCTTAATACTGGCGACATTATTTTCACAGGATTAACTGAAGTTTTCATGGTGGTATTTTTAGTAAGTCCTTTTAAAATTATCGGTTTGGCAAACGCATTTTTAAAATATAAACGAGCCTAGAGAAATAATACCAGTTGCTTTTTCTTTGCTTATTTAGGAGATGGTAATTACTTAGCCTGCGTTTACCAGTAAAGGTAGGGATCAGGCTTTTTTTTCTCCTCTGCTTAAACCTTTGGTACCCACCCACACCCACGGGTCTGTGGCGGAGGAGAGGACGCGGGGAAGTCAGAATCCAAGTGGATAGCTCTGCCTTTCACATACCGTTTTTCTTGTATGTGCTTTATTTTGGTACCCTAAAAGTTTTATTTAGCTTTATTCGTACACAGCAGTATGAAGAAGCAAGCCTAAAATCATTACTGTGTTTTCATTACGTTTAACTTAAACACAAAATTAGGAAAAATACAACTATTTATTATTCCCCAAGTTTATTTTAGATAAGATATAGGTCATGTGTGAAGGTGATTTGCTAATAGGAGAACATCAGGTAATGACGACTGTTAAAACCTCGTCCATATTAAGGCATTTGGGTGCTTAGAAAAAAAAAAAAAAAGGTATTCAATATGCAGAAACAAAAAGACTTTTCCTTAAACTGGAGAATCTTTTTGACGATGAAGTAATTTAAATTGGCATATTCACAAACCACAGTATTCGCTGAACATCTGTTTCCGGGAATAAAGCAAACATACACAGTTCTTCAAAATGCCAATCGAAGATTCAAAATTCCTACCGCCAGTGAGGTGGGGCCAATGACAGAGAGCTACTGGTGTCATTTCAAACCTTGTCTGCACTATTTCAGTTCAGTACATCGGCAACCACCGACATCGGAACTTCTTTCCTATTAGGACTTTACGCTTAAAATACATAGCATATATGTTTGGATTAGGTAAATTTGGCTTCATGTGGGTACATATGATACCGATCACAGCATCAAAATATCAAGATGTGGGTTTCACCCACGAATCTTATGTAAAACACTTCTGAAAACAGAGCAGTCCTCGAGGTAAAACACCACGGCACTTTAAAACCCCGCAGCCGCATGACCAGACCCGGCACAGGGCATTCTGTGTCCCGAGTAGGTCGGATACAGCCAAATAAAAAGCCAAAAGCACTGAATTCCTTGGGGCTGATTTTACGCATCCACGCAGCTGCCTACTTTCTCCATGGGAAACCGACGCTGCTGTTTATATGAAAGCGTGTGTCTTAAAAATTGCCACTAAAAATTCTCTCCCGCCTTTCCCCTATCGCCCTCCCCCCAGCCGGTTAACGCCGATAGATGAACAGTCATTACGGTCCCCGACTAATTAACCGTTCCGCGGGAGGTCCCGGAGCTGTCGCGGGCGATGCCGGCCCCGCCTCCGCCGACGCGTCATCAGCGTGCGCCGGGCAGCGGCGGAGCCGGCGGGGAGCGAACGGGTGGGTGAGTGATGAGCGGGAGTGGGGGCGAGTTGGACCGCGGCTCCTCCCGGGCTCAGGCCCCTCCCGTCCGACCCGGCGGTCCCTGCGCTGCTGGGCGGTGGTGGTGGGGCCGCGGCGGGGAGGGAAAGGCCGGGCCCAGCCTCGTGGGCTTCGTTCCTTCGTACGAGGCCCGGGTGGGGCGATGCGGGAGGTCTCGGTGCGGAATTGTGGTGGGATGGGGAGCCTGGGCCAGAGGGTGGGCTATCTGTCCTTCTTCATGGGCTCTGCGGGACGTGAAGGAGCGGGTTGGCCTCTTACGGGTGCGTAAGAGACGCACTGAGAGAGAACCTTATTGATGTGTATTCATACCTAAAGAGGGGATGACAGGAAAATGGAGCCGGGATCCTCTTGGTGGTGCCAGCCATTAGGACTAGAGGCAACGGGCGAAAACTTATGCGCAGGGAGTTCCAGCTGAATGTGAGGAAGAACTCTACTGTGCAAGGGACCGTGTACTGGAACAGGTTGCCCAGAGAGGTTGTAGAGTCTCCCTCACTGGAGATATTCAAGGACTATTTGGATGCAATCCTGTGCCACATGCTCTAGGGCGACTCTGCTTGAGCAGGGAGGTTGGAGCAGATGACCCGCTGTGGTCCCTTCCAGCCTTCCCCATGCTGTGATTCTGTGTGGTGCTCCCAGCACGTGGAGGATCCCATGTCTCCGTGTGTGGTTCCAGCTGTGCCCCAGTGCGTGTCGGTGCATTGCTGTGCCTGGTGGCTCTGCCAGCCCGGTGGCATTTAGGGTTGCAGGGTATGTGAAGGACAGAGGTAAAGCAGGGCACCTCCCTGCAAAACACACAACTGTGGGTCACTGCTGACCTTAGCAGCAGTGTCATTTTGCTGCACGAGCAGCACTAACTCAAGTTGTTTAGCTACAGCTGTGATCTGCCTTAGTTCAGCTGTGTTTTAGAAGAGCTGCTGTTTTCTAGTGCCGGTGGGTGAGTGCTTATATCTTACTATGACATATTGACTCAAAAAGACTGTAGCACCTGTGGATTAAGATGCCACTATGATTGTGTTATAGTATACTTGGAAGCTGTAGAGTGTAACGAGTTCCTTCCAGTTCTCTTAAATGGAGTGACAGGGTGGGAATTTTAACAAGGTGGTCTTTCAAGTGCTGATCAGACTATTAAAGAATGAACTGTCAAGCTTATCCTTCTGTTTTCAATGCCATAGTTTTCCCACTAAAATTTATACTGAATCAAACTGTGAAGATCAGGTTAATAATCCCTGCAGTAATATTAAGCAAAAGCATCTAAGAGTCATTCTCTTAAGGAAGCTTCAGGAATGTTATTCACTGGGATAAAGGTTAGGAATTTTTGCCTTCTATGTCAGACAGAACAGCAGTACAGAAAATGGCAGCCTCAAAAAAACTACAAGGAAATATTAATGTTCTGGTCTAGATTTGGATTGGGTGGAAAAAGAAGTGTTTACTGTATCTCTGGTGGAAGAGTAACCACCTAAAAGTCATGGTTTTGAGCACATTTACATGTTAGGATAGGATTACTGAAAACTGGGTAGAATGTTTGTGGAGTATATGTAACTATGTTGTCTGATGCTGTGGAGGGATAGTTGTCTCCAAATAAGTTTGAAAAATCAAAATGTAGGGCATTAAGAGGTGTTTGAAGAATAGCACTGAGTTATTACTCTTGGTTTGATAATCATGCATGTTTATATTAGGATTTGAATAGTGGAATTTCTTCTCTTCCTACTATTCTACCCACAATCTGTTCCCAAGATTTCTAACACCTTAGATCAGTGAAAAGGTAGATTAGGTTAGCTAGTGTGTCAGAAGGGAAGATAACAAGGCTTATCTTGTTATCTGGTTATCTTGCACCATTGTTACATGAGTGATGTGTAAGAAATTATTGAATTTTATGTTTCCAGCAAGGAAATTCTAAGCGTTGACCAGAGGGAGGAAAGAAAATACTATGTCGGGCTTTAGTGTTTAAAGTCCTGCTTAACAGAAAAATGTGCTGTGTCTGTCCTTGGAGGTTTTCTATAGCAGTTTGGTAGAGCTCTGAGAAACCTGATGTTACTTTGCTTTTGAGAAGTTGAACTAGATGACTTTCTGAAGTCTATATCAGCCTGAATTTTCCCATGTCCTCTGTATCAAATACAGACTATATTTGTTCGTATTTACTTTTAAGGAAGAGTTTTCATCTTCTGTTAGCTTTAAATTGAGATATTGAAATGATTGTGTATGTCTTGGGGAAAAAAACCCCAAAACCCCAAACCCCAATCTGATGTGCACATTGTGTGTTTTTTGTTTAGAACATGGATTCACAGAAGGACGTTCAGCCTCCAAAGCAGCAGCCAATGATTTACATTTGTGGAGGTAAAGAAAAGACATTAGTGATTTTTTATTTTTGTTATGTGTTACTGGAGATTTAGTGTTTTAATAATGAAGCCATTATATTGAAGACTACATGAATGCAAATAATTGCAGCATGGATCCCCATGATCTTTAAAGCTTAACACGTTGATGGTAACGTGTATGGGTTACTGCATGGATATGGATGGGCAAGTAATTTCCTTAGATCTTGTGTTGCTGTATGGAGCTCCTCCATCTCCAGAGAATGTTTTCTCGAAGTGTCCACGTGTGGTGCAAATAGTGGACCTTCTGTTCAGTGCACCTCAGTGTTTTACTGAAAATGCTGTGTGGGCACTCAGCTTTTACTGAAGTACAGTAGTCAAATTCTCTCTTACCTATATATAGCAGGTTACGGGGGACCTGCTACAAGACCCAGTGGCACATTTTGCATTGGGAGACGGGACACACACACGAGAGATATGTGACCCACAAAATGGCATTTATTGAAACAAGAAGACAGCTTTTATACAGGGGAACACAGAAGGTTCAGGAATAGGGGTAGGAACCCGGCTAGGAACATCAAATCCTGAGGGTTACTGATATGGGGACTTGGAGGGATAGGCTAAGGGCATATGTCAGGTCACTAAGGGGGAAGGGAGAGCTAGGGGAATAATGGAAGGACTGTCTTGGGAGCACAGGCAGGGGAATCTGCTGAGGGTGCAAGACCGCGGCCTTGTAGCCGGTTCCCAGGCAGTTCTGCACAGCTGAAGTTGCCAGGAGACTTCGAGATAGATCTTTTCTTCTGAGCCTTCCTTGCAGCTTTTCTGCATCTCTCTCCACTTTCTGTAGGCCTCTTCTGGTCCACCCCTGACACCTATAGATAAGTCAACAATTTACAGATTGGTGATTTTGAGTCAGCACTTCAGGAATCTCTGAAATATTTTGTCTTGTAAGAAAATAAACTGTGGGCTTCTGGAGGTCTAAACTGAAATTTTTGTTAGTATCAGTCTAGTATCAGGAGTGGAATGTGTTCTGTGCAGTAATAATTTGAGTTTTTTTAGCAAGATTCTCTTTGACCTTAATAAAGTTAAACTTGCCTTTTCTTTTTTTCTCAGTATCTTGGTATCATTGAGCTCTTGATACAGATCCATTACACGTACTATGTTTGCCAACATAGGAATTTGATTATTTTGGCTTTTGAAAGTTATATGTGCATGAACAATCCTGTTTTTGTTTACCCACTATCTTTGTCTTCCTCTATAACATTAGAATGTCATACAGAAAACGAAATAAAGGCAAGAGATCCTATCAGATGCAGAGAATGTGGCTACAGAATAATGTACAAGAAAAGGACCAAAAGATGTATCCTTTTACAAGTGCGCTTGAAAGCATTTGGGAAGTTGTGGATGGGGATAAAGTATCTAAGGTAAACAGAAAGGAAGATTTGAGTAATTGTGGCAAAATCCTTCAAGGCAAAAAATCAATGCCGTAGAGCAAACTACTATGGGGCAATCTCTGCAGAGTGATTTGGCACCTTCCTTTCTTTCTTGGCACTTTCCCTCTTTTTCCATTTTCTATGCAAGATATAATAAATTATGATAGTCTGCTGGGTGATGTACTGTGAAGTGACAGTCTCTCTCTTTTATTCGTCTCCCCACCTTTTTTTTTCAACCACAACACTTTTTTTTTTGTCTTTAACTGAGCTATTCCAGTGGTGGTTTTTGATGCCCGATGATATCTGCTGAGGATACAGTGACTTCATGATGCAGTTTAATCTCTCTGATAATTTTGCTCTGTAAAACTATTTGTGTACAAATGCACACTCTTATTTGTGTTTTAAGAGATTATTAAAGTTTACTGTAATACTAAATTTTGTCTATATTGTGTTCCAGCAATAGATTTCTAAAGCTGTTAGTTAAATTGTCAGAGTATGCAGTATTTTTTAAGTTCGGTGGTTTTGTATTCTTTTTGACTTAATCGTGTTTTCATTACTGTCATCCAAACTTTATTTGCATTTTAACTTTGTTAAATGTTCTTTAGACTTCTGTGAATTGCATACAGTAACTGTAGTTTGAATAAATTCCACTGAAAATAAATAGAGGCCTGCACAAGGCTAGGTCTGAAATACAGATCTGGATTTCTTAAGAGAAAATCTCAAGGGACTTGAGAGCACCAAATTGTGGATGTGTTAAAGGTGTGGATGTCTGAAAGTGTCAAAAAATCATCTCTTGGGAAAGGATAGGGAGGCAAGGTAAACATTAAGAAGCAATGTGGAAACAGAAATTACGAAAGTGCTGTTTGACTTGTTTGTACTCAAGGAAAGAATTAGTACTCAAGGAAAAAATAATGTATTACAAAGATAAATTGGGTAGCATCTCAAAACTAAAATAGCATCTTGTTTTGCTTTTCAGATGACTTCTCAGGGGTCTGTAATAAAAAGATCAAAGTGGCGATTTTGTTTTGAGAAGCCAAAACTTTTTGCATCTGTCTGTTTGGAATGTATGTTATGTAGTAGTACTAAACTCTGCTACAAAATACTGCTGAATTGTGCGTGCTTGATCTCAATTTTGATGGTGCTAATGATGCTGTTCCATTGAGATACTGTGTTTAACTTACCGCTGTAATAAGGTATCTTTAAGGTGTGCATGACTGTTCTGGCTCATAAATGAGCTGCAGTGGCTTGTTATAGGGGATAAAGAAAAGCAGTCTGAGATGATGTTTTGGAGCTGTTGGTTAAGATTTTCTTAGTTATCTGATCTCTGCTGTTAAGACTAGGTTTTTCCAGGAAAGCAGATGTACTTGGGTATAAATGATAGCTTTTTTGCTACACAAGCTTGGCCTGCATAGCCTGCATCTTATGCCTGAATAACAGAAAGAAGGGTCACTACTGCCATGGCTGCTCAGAAGGGTGAGGAGGAGAGGGCAGGAACGTTGCTGTCGAAGGTTTGGGGGCGGGTTTGGCCGTACTGCGGGCACGGTCGGTGCTTCCTTCTGCCAGGCACGCGGAGAAGAGCATCCTCTGCCACTGGGGACCTGCTGTAGGGAGCAGCGCCGGGAACTGCAGGGCTGACAGGCAGCGCTGGTGCGGGCACGGCGGGACGCCGGCATTGGGAGGGCACTGCCTGAGTAAAGCACTACGCTGGAAACAAGAGAGTGACGATTATCAAGCCTTCACCCCCAGGTGCGGTATCTCTGCCCCCCGCAGCAGGTGGGGGCGGGCGCTGCCGCCGCTCCCCTTAGCCCTGACCGCAGCCGCGCCTGCGCGCCGGGCAGCGAAGGTGGGGCGGCCCCGGCCGAGGGACGGCCGTGTGCGGGTCCGGGGGCAGCGCGGCACCGGACAGGTGGGTGCCGAGTCGGGCGGGGGACGCCCATGTCGCCGCTGGAGCTCGGCGGGGCTCTGTGGGAGCCCGGCCAGGGTGTCCGCGGGGAGCACAGCGCCGTGTCCGCGCCGCCATGTTGTACATAGCAGCGGTTGCTAAGCTCGGGCTGGCGGCGCTGCCCGGGCCCCGGCGGTGGGTGCCGCTCCCCGGGTAAATTCCCGACCCCGGGCGATGTGGAAGGGGTGTTGGAGGGGGGCGCTCCGGGCTGTGGCGGTACCTTGCCCCCGAGCAGCCGCGGTGTCCGTGTCGGCGCCGTGCCCCGGGCAGCTCCCTTCTTTCCATGAAAATACTGAAACGGGAGAAGACGCTGGTTTGTGATGAGCTTTTTACTCAAATTTAATTATTTACTGCATTCGTACGGCTTTCCATGCACGATGTTTTTTTTTTTCAGTACCGAAACTGTAAGGTCTTGGGGCAGAATCTCTGTTATGGTCACCTAATTATTGACCAGTTATTATTTAAGTGATAGTATATTGTAAACGTTTTTTGTGCAACTACAATTTAATAGGTGTAGTTATGTTAGTCATTAGAACACAGTTATTTTAACTGGGTTTATATTTGCACATAGTTGTTATTGCACATTAGATAGCTGCTCATCTTGTACTCGTTAAAAATAACTTATCGCTTTATGCATTATATAAAGGGGGAAAGAGTGAAGAATTTCAGCTCCATAGAGCTTGGGATCAAAACAGAAAAAGATGCAGATGAACAGATCGAAGGAACAGGGAGGCGGAAGTGTCCCATTTGAACCCCTCACTTTATCAGTGACATACTTACTGGAAAAGGCTTATATTACTACTGTAGTATAATCAAATACACAGAAAATGCAGTTAGTGAACAAAGGAAACTAGATTTATTTTTGCTACAGAGAAGGCAAAGGTTATTATTTCGTTAGATACAATGTTGGTTAACATCTTCCCTCTGAAAAAAGCAGTCTCCTGCACCATCTTATCCTTCATGCTTATCATACTTTCTTAAATAGGTAGTATTATATTGTATTTAAAGAAAAATCGAGATTGTGGTTGGCAAAAATTGGGAATTTTTGTTTAAGCAGACTTTCTGAATTGTTCTGCTTTGCAGAAGCAGTAGAGTTGCATACACTCTTCATACAAAGCATCTCTCATATGCAACCATACTTCTGTCAATAAACCCTGACGAGAACAGCTCATATGATCAGGTCTTCAAATCTGATTTTTTTTCTTTTGTGGCAGTAGATCTACTTGCACAAGAGAGTGGAGTGTGAGCAGGTTTATTCCTTAAATTGGCATTGCTTCAAAATATAGCTAAGTACCTACAGGATCACTAAATTTTTTTCCTTTTAGTATTTAGCTATGGGTGATGAGTCAGTACCATTTTTGCTGGACCAAGGAACCACTAAAACATATCAAATACCTATTAGTCATCTGGATTACAAATTCATTGAAAAATGCACAGATGTTAAGCACCTGGAAAAGATTCTCAGAGTATTAAGGTAAAAATATTTTCTTATCTTCATTAATAATTATATTCCTGTTCTGTAAAATTTGAGGGAACCCTCACCTAAATACTAGTATCTGCCTGAACCTCTTTGTGACTTTTTAATTTAAAAATTAAAATACAGAGTTAAAGTAATCATGTTAAAAGTGTCCCAATAATAACACTAGAAATCCAAGTCCTGATTTAACTATCAAAAAGGTTTGAGTAACTGAATGTCAGGTTTTTTTTCAAAATGCTGTACTGTATTTTGGTTCTATTATGATCCTTCTTGCCTAACTCTGGTTAGGCAAGGTGCCACACTGTTTAACTTTTACTGAAAATGACACAAAATTTTTTTTATGAGCACTGTGATGATAATTTGAACTGTATATGTATGGACATTGGAAAATGGTTTAGGGTCAACTGGAATTTTCTGATGAAAATGTTACTAGATGACAGTAAAATTGAATTGTAACAGGGAAATAGTCTTCTCTAGTCATTGTAGTGACTACAGATGGAGGGAAATATGGAGGACACAGTGCAGTTTAGTTTTGTTAACTTTTATATCTTTGCATGTGAAAGGTCTGGTGAGGAGGGATGTTACCCCGAACTTACCTTGGTTTGTGAAAAGCGTATTGAGCATTTAGATCCAAAGAGCAGAGCTCTGAGAAAAGATAAGCCTGCAGCCACAGCTTCTGATTTCACAGCTGAAGAGTGGGAAACAATTAATGATGAGCTGATGGTACAGTATCTAGTTTATAATGATCCATAATATAATAACTTTGATGTATCAGTCTTCCTCTTCTTGTGCCTAAGTAGAATGTAATTATTTGATTAAATGAGGAAATGATCAAAGGATTTTGTTGTAGTTTTTTAATTGTTTTCTTGAGTTAGTGTCACTGAACCTTCAGTGCCTATTTTAACTCTACCATTTTTTTTTTGTAGACTGCTTTGTATTCAAAAAAACAGTACTGCTTTCTTTTCTTAATTCCTTTTCCCCTTAATAGCAATGTTCTGTAAGTATAGTTGTTAGGGTGATTGTAGACTGTGAAGTAAATCTGCTCTGCTACCTTAAGGTACAGATATATTATTTATTTATTTTCAGAACTGGGTGACAGAAATGAATGAAGATGATAAGAAATCACAGTTCCTGAGAACAGACACACCAAATGAAAATCAAGATAACTTGCCTCCCATTCGTTGTTCCAGCAGCTGTCTTCCTGCTAAGCAGGTATCTCCAGTTTTCTGATGTGTTTTAATTATGGGAAATTTTATATGTACAAACTTCCAATCATTGAGCCTTTCTTACTAAATTTATTTTACTAACCAGAAAGTAAAAACCTTTAATCTCCCTTGTGAGAGACCAATGCTTAAACAAAAGTGCTTTCTTTGTACTAGCCTGGGTCTTGTAATAATATTTTAATTCAGATCAAGAACTCACTGCTAGAGCAGATCTCCTTAAACACCCTTTTATGTTCTTTGACTCATGTTTCAGAATGGTTTTTATGCATATGAATCAGGTTTCTTTTGGATAAAATTATCCAGGAGATTTTCTCCAGCTGCCAGTAGGCTTTTGTTCCATGGGGCTGGACAGGAGCTAGTCCAAAACAAATACCCTGAAACAGATACGCTGGGGATCTTAGATCTTCTGCACCAATTGTTTCATTCTGTAGCCATTTCTGTATTGGGTTGCGCTGCCTTTGATTGCCCTTTTTGTTTTTCTGCCTTGAGTTGCCATTCCCACTGCACTCATATAGCATACTTCCTAATTTAGCCATTAAGCACACTTAACAAATCTTCACAATTAAGAACAAATACTTATATTTTCCCTAGGTATTAGTTTCCTTATGTGTTTTTTTTCCAACTTATTTATCTGCCTAAAATCAGTTTTGTCTGTGATTGGCTTTTCTTGCTAATAGTAAATGTAGTGCTACTGGGGGGATTGGCATACAAATAGGTGTGGGATGGGATTTTTCTGAGTTGTCAGATGTTGTCATAGATCACTTTAGTCCAATTCTCAAAATTTTCTTTACAATTCTGGGACACTGCTATAACAATTTCACTGAAATATTTCTCTTCTGGGATGTTTGGGAGTCAGAAATGTGATGAAAGTATCCTCAGAGGTCATGTGATATTTCTTATTAATTGTTTTGGGTTTTTTTATATATTAGTAATATATTAGTTTATTAATATATATTTAATACATTAGTAAATGCCTGATTTTTGTTCCTTTGTTGTCAGAAACTGCTTCTTGTTGTCAGCTAGTACTTAGACATTGGGCCAAGATATTTGGGATAGCGAGGCACTCTTAGTATTGAGACTAAGACGTGCTTTTGTTTTGTTTGGTTTGTGTTTTTTTTTTTGTTTGGGTTTTTTTCATTAATCTGTATTCTTTCACATTTTGCAATATGTATTCCTCTTGACTAACCCCTTATGCTGAGCTGGAGAGTGCCACTGTGGCTTTACTGTTGATTCATGTCCTGCATGAGTGCTTGTTTCAACAGAAAATGGTAAATAAAATACCAGGAGAACTCAGTGAATCCAGGTTGGAAGGTAAACATAAAATAGCAGAAAGTGTCTTGAAATGTAGGATACGCAGTTTTACTAAAGAGGATGTGTTCTTCATTCAAAGATAAAAATATTTATTCACATTTTTTCTCCTCCTTTAAATCATGCAACAGTCTTCAGGTCAAGCTTTGTTCTTTTGTTCTTCACCTTTTGTTCTCCATACAAGGTTTAGATGTTAGCAGTATTACTCAGGAAACCTAGATACAGCTTTACTTTATATGTGGCATGTGATTTCCATTCCTTTTGTCCAAGCAGGTGGCCTCTGAAATAACTGTAACCTGTCCTGGAAGAGAGAAGGGAGGCTTGAAACTACCTTTTAGAATTCAGTCTTTTTATGCAGTGCTACAGTTACATCACTACTAGATCACTACTGAATAAAAAGAAACTGTTTCTATAGTTTACACTAAATTTATATTTGTAATATGAAATCCAAAAATATTTGAATGTATATAATCAGCTTTTTTTCTTTTCTTTCTCTCTGATAAAGTTATGTGTAATCTTACAGTTCTTAAACATGTTTTGATAATCAGTTATTACTAATTTTCAGACTGGCATTATATAATTTTTTAAGTGGTATCAAGTTTAAAGTTGGCACGATAAATTTCTCTGCTAGGAAGAAATGCACAGACCTTTCTGTAATTTTATGTTATTACTTGATTGGAGACTGTTCATCTGATCCGATGCATAAAAAGTTCAGCATCTTCAATTAAGCCAAATCTGGAAATTCTTACTGACCCTAAAACACTGGATTGCACCAGTGGGTACCAGTTTGGTAAATGGAAGAATCTTTTTTTTTGTCTGTAACCAGATACAAAATGTAGGTAGAGTTTCAGTTTACTGGTGATAGCTTATAATTCTATATAGTGTTTTCTTTTTACTGATGTGAAATCCTGGGGAAGATTTTCCAAAAATGAATAGAAAAGAGTTAAGTTTATGCAATATTTCCCTCTTTAACACAATGTGGAAGTTTGTCTTACATCCCTGTTTTTCTGTCACACTGCCTTACTTCTTCCGGAGAAAACTAAAGCATGGGTTTAAAGATATTCATGTTCAAAAGACTGCATTTATGGGATTTCAGCATAGGTTCTTTTGCCAAACATGGTTTGCTAATACTATTCCAGAAAGATTTCTGTCTTCAAATACCTCCTCATGCTACTGTCCAGGGCATGCATCACACATTCCAGGGTTTACATTATAAAAATCCACTGTGATAGGATCTATATAGCCCTCATGTTATTTTGGATATTCTGAACTAAAAAAGAATACTGGTTGCTTGACACATTAAAGCAGTGTCTTCGGCCAGCATGCAGGGCCTACAAGAGAAGTAAGGACAAATTCCGTGTCACCAGAACTGAAGCCAGTCTGTGTGTTGCTCGTTGGCCCATTGAAAATGCTCAATGGGCTTCAGAACCTGTGATATCCACGTGTTGTGAGTTCTGTGGCAAGAAAAATGACCAGCACAAAGATTTTTACTTTTTTTTTTTAGTCCCACAGCATGCAAACATGTATCTTTCATTGGATGAGGTGCTGTGAAATATTACTGATGGAGAAATTCCAGACTCTGCTGGAATCACAACTTTGTTACAATTGCCTCAAGAGTATGAGGCCTAGATTTTTTAAAATTGATTTTTGAGTCAATGCTTTTGCCTTATTCCTTAAAAGTACATGCTGTAGTTCTCTCCCTAAGTTGAAGTTGTATTACTCTAAGTACCTTATGCATTTTCTTCTTCCAGTTTCAGTATTTTTGTGCTTATTTAAGTTAATGACTTCTGGTTTGAAAAAAAGATTTGGTATTTATTAAATTAGCACATTTGTAATATACACCAGGATACATATATAATGATAACTCATGTTTCAGGAAGGCATATTTAGGAGTTCCCTCCTCCAAACATACACGGATCACTAAATGTATTTGTCATTTTGTCTCGCTTCTTGAAAGACAGAACATTAAGAGTAATTCTGAAGCTATATACTATAAAAGTTTGTGTAACCTAACATTATAGATAGTCAGAAGTGTTTACAGGAAGGGTCACATTTGCATTATGTAAATTGAGTTGTTTACATGCAACTGCAGAAATATGTCCTTGTTGCAGTGTCACCACTCGTAAAGCAAGTTTAAGTGCCTGCTGCTTATTTCTTTGGTCCAGTTGAACTGGTACAGATATTTGGGGATTGTACTGTGATATCTATTATTTGTTTGAACACAGAAAATTGTAAATCTGCAACTCTACAAAGAATTACAGTGGTATAACTTAGTGAATGATGGATCACAAGTTAATAGAAGGGCAAAATAGCCAGGACAGAGTAGATGGGAGTATTTTGAACTGGCTGTTCCACTTTGAAATACCTGTTGGGAACCACACCTCGCTATTAAGTATTTTGAAGTCAACAACCAGGGAGGGACATATCAGAAATAAAGTCTCATGAGAGAAGAAGGATTGATGCCAAAGGTGACAGTTATGGAAATAGATTCCAGTAGTGTAGGAGATGGGTTGCAATACAAGTCAGTCAAATCTGGTTTTGGGACAGATTGTTGCAGGAAGATCCTGAAGATAAGTTTTAGGTAAGGCAAACCCCAGTGATGAAGCTTGTCTAAAAGCTAGAATGAATGTAAATCATCTTAGGAATTTGCTTTAGTGGAGTGATAAATACTCAGAAGAAGTCCAGACATTATTTTGAAGTCAATTATGTGTAAGTTTGTGGTGAGGGTTCCAGGGATTATCAAAATTTATGCATTGTATTCTCCTGGAAAAGGCATGCCTAAAATTAAGTTAGTGATTCAATCTTCATGTGAAACACCTCATCACAAAGCTGGGTTGTCCCAAAACTGAGTTCTCCCTTGCTGGGTTGAAAAGATGGTTGGGAACGTGGCATCACAAGATACTAATTAGGAAAGAGTAGTCTCCTGTCTGAAGGTTTTATTCAGTGCCTCTGTGACTTGTAACAGGTCAAGGGAGAGAAAATGTAAGACTGAAGAGCTCCTCAGATTACAATGGTATGTGAAATGAATAAAGATTTTCTTTAAAGCAACACAATTCACATTTTCAAGATTATGCTGAGATTAGTCGCAAATAGCATTGGTTACTCAGAATATGTGTTGCAGAAACAAAACTAAAAAAAAAAAAAAAGCTCTGCAATTTCCACTGCAAAAAATTGTCTTACTGGCTGTTTGGTTCTCTTTCAGATCAAAACACTGCAAAACAAACAAAGAAACAAGAAAAACATTCCACGGGATTACAGTGAATGGGAAAAGTAGGTTAAATCCTTTATATTCAAGTTTTTAGTAAATCTTATTTATTTGTTTAATTAGGGAACACATTTGTATTTTCCAGAAACATAGTATTAAGGTCAGTACTTCAGGGAACTGTAACATTTCTATGAAACTTCATTTTTTCTTAATAAATATTCTGTTAAAATGCAAATGATACTTTGTTTTGCTAACATCTGAGAACAAGTTAGTTTATACTTTTGGACCAGCTGTGTGAAGTACAGCAAGTAATCAGAAAAATAAAGACTGATTTTTTTTTTTTCATTTCAGATTTAGTTTTTCTGTTCAGCATCAAAGATATAACTCTATAGAGATACATAAAAGCAAGGAATTACAATTAATAACTGAATTTTTTAAAAGCAGTTCTAGAGTTACATTATAAGGGCTTATAAATTTGATCTTCTCTATACCTAAAGCCACAATTCTAAATGAAAAACAAAACTGATGAATATTTACTTCTGCACTGAACTCTTCTGACCTCAAAGAATGAGCTTCAGGCAGGTGCATCAGTTTACTCAGATGCAATTACACATAATCGAGATTTAGACAGTAGCTATTTTGAGAGTGGATGGAGCCATAATATAAAGACGCTCTCTGCATCATGTAATGGTGGTTTATTTTCATCCCAAGTTATGTGACAGATTAATAGCTAAAATGTTGAACACAGAGGGGGGAAAGCACATAATTCTCTGTTTTGCATGGTAGAAGCGTTTCTTGAGTTCCTGAAATCTGGAATATGGTGCTGTGGAATCAGAGTGAGGAGGCTCGAGTTTCCAGTGCTGTAGATGGGGAGCTAAATCTAGATATTGGGGGGGGGGATAATGAAACTCTACCCCAGAATGCCTACAAAAACCCTGTTCTGCATAAGATGTTGTTTTTACAAACAGGTGTGCGTATCAGTTATTTTCATGTGTATACTGTGGCTTTCCTGGTAAAATATGGACAAAGAAAGTAGGTTGTCAGAATAACTTCTGCAACAATTTATTCTTTCATCCTTCTTTCCACTGTAATCCAAATTTCCAAAGTAATCATTTGTAGATTTTGTTTGCAGTTTTATATACACAATCTTTAAGTGCTCTAGCACGTTGATAATACTACAATTTGTGAATTTTCCCCTATAATGTATTTATTTTGAATTATGAGTATACTGAAGCAGAAGTGGTTTGAAAGAAATTTTCCAATTTGAAGCATGTCAGGTTTTCAAAACATTTTGTGGATAATTTCAAAACTTTCAAGTAATTCTTGATGCAATTCCTGAACAAAACATTTTGCTTCTTATTTTGAAAACACTTACTTGAAATGTGGTTAATTTATAATAAGAAGGTAACAGTAAGCTAGCAAAAGATCAGATTAAAAATGGAGAACAATTAGTTTTACCTGAAAAGGTTTTGAATTTGATAAATTTTCAAAATGGTATCTCTATTTCAGATATTATATGCATTGTCAAGATCCCTATGGAAAGCAAACACTGGTTTTCATTAAACTCTACGCAAAAAACCATGAAACACAGTGTTTCTAGTTAGTGTAGGAATTGGTTATTATCATACTTGTTTTATAGGACTATGGCAGCAGTATTTCTTTACATGAATTCCCAAACACTGTTTTCAAAAGCTGCTTCAGAGTAGCTTTGGAAGCATCTGAGACGATTCTGAAATCTCTCTCAGGTTTATTGTATTAATTGCTTTGAAGCTGTTTCTTAGTTATTTTGGCAGAGGTTAATAGAGCAGTTTGATGGGGCTGGGATTAGGCCTGATGATACCAATTCTTAAATGTTTTCTTTTTGGGGGAGATGGTGAGGAGGTGAGGCAGAGATTTTTCTGAGGAGGAAGAGAAGGGGTAATATATAAGCAGGAGAAGCACACAAAAACTACACCACAAGGGAGGGAGTTAAGACTAAACATCTTTTTCCTAACTAGCCACACATAATTGAACACTTAATCTCTTTTCTTTTGGTTTATAATAGGAATATAGTATTCCTTTCTATTAGTCGAGGAGTCTTGCTATGGGGAGTTATTGAATTTGTCATTTTTATTAATTCAAGGTTCGACGTGGAAAAGGAATGTTCTAAAATTGATGAAAACTGTGAAGAAAGTAACTCAAAATCAAGATTATTCAGTAGGCCAAGTCAACCTGTTATCAAAAATACAATAGACACAACTGGTAATGTCTTAGAAACGTAATTTTTCTTTAAGTGTAATAATGTGTTGTAGAGTGTGAATATAAATTGAAGTACATCATAGAGTTAGTGTCTTTATTTTTCAGCCCCTAGATGTGCTGAAAGTTGTTAGATCATCAACTGAGCTTGAAGCCATATTTGAAAAAAATCTAGTCTTGATGTTAATAAGCATTTAGAATGTTTATATTGTGTTTAGGTTGAAAGCTCTTGGTAAAGAAGTAAAGCATAAATCTGGTATTATAAATGAATGGTAGAGGTTAGCCAGCTGTTTTCAGCTTGCACTCTGAATTGTATGTCTATCAGAAGAATTTAGGTTTTACTACAGAAAATAAAATACAAATTTGTCTTTTAATAAGCCACAAGCTTTTTTTAAAAAATATGTAGATTATGACATTGAAAGTATTTTAGCTGGCAGTGTTTTGATTACATCTGTCCAAGTTGTTAGTTGTTGTTATATAGAAATACTTTTTGCTAGGAATGACAAAGAGAGAGAAAATCTTTATTGCTACTCGTGAAAAAGAAAAGGGCAATGAAGCTTTTGCCATTGGTGATTATATGGAAGCAGTGACATATTACACTCGGTGAGTAAATTCTCTTGTGTTCTTATATTTTAATGACTGTTACTTGTAAATATTATGTTTAGAACAATGTGATTGAAGTAACTAATGACAATTAGATTATTTTCAAAAGGGCAAAAAAGCTTTGACAGAAAAATACTTACAGCACTGTTGCATACTGATATTAATTTTTATTTATCAGGAAGAGATGTGGCTAGTGATGAAATGCAGTCTGCAGGTGTCATGAACTTCTTCAGATTTTTCAAAACAGTTGAGATTCAAGGGCATGTTTATGAAAACAAAAGGATAAGCAGTGTGTTGAGAAACGAAATTAATTGTAATTAAATGTTTTTGTAGGATTGTCTCATTGATAGGGTTGTCTCAAGTGTGAATAAGTACAATTGCTTCTCTAATCTATTCTTAGGAGATAAAAAAAAATCACTGTGTGCAGCTTCATCATAACACTGTAATTCGTAACAGTCCAGAAAAAAAAAATTGTGTGTGAACACAAGATTAATAAAAATAAGACTTTTAAAAAGTGCTTGTCTTATTAGTTCAGTGGAGTACATTCAGACTTTGGCTTTATTTATGTAAGTAGAGGTTGTTCCTACAGGACCTCTGTTGTATTTGTTTCAAAAGCAGAAAAGTTCAGTCTGAGTGGAATTGAGTGCATAGGTTATCCCACCATCTCACTTACCCCACTGAGACAGACCTTTTATTCTTTTTTGTTCCCCATGTTCCCTATGCATTGTGCATTTGTGTAAAAGCACATGATCTTGTTTGTCCTCCAGCCATGTTTTTTTTATAAGGAAAGTGTGAGTATTCCACGATGGTGTACCCCCAGCACTTTGCTGTTGTCCACTCTTCCCAGAGTCTTTGCCTTTTACAAACAAGATCAAGGAGAAGCCCATTGGTGCCCCTCACCCCCAGGCTCTTCGCCATAACCACCAGAACTCTGTGATTACTCTTGACACTCTCAAAAGTTTCATTTGGCAGTTTTTTTGGAACCTACATGATGGCAGGAAGAGGGAGTAGTTTAAGTGACAGATGAGCTGTGGCATCTTCTGTGCAACATCTCAGGTCTAAGCCCTGGCAAGCAACAGGCCTCTGAAGACAGTAAATTAGGGGGATAGTTGCCTCTGGTCTTACAAGAGGGAGTTTCTAACCACTACTGTGGTTAGAATATCAGTATTAATATTGTTGTAACACTGTTTTCAGCTTCTAATAGTGAAGAGTTTCTACATTCAGATTTTCTGATTATGAGCCCCCCCATGGTTAATATTCCCTTTTTCTAGGAGTATATCAGTAATACCGACTGCAGCTGCATATAATAACAAAGCTCAAGCAGAAATCAAACTTCAGGACTGGGACAGTGCTTTGCAGGATTGTGAGAAGGTACTAGATATGGAACCTGGCAACATAAAAGGTAAAGTAGAACATAAAGTTGCTCTTCTATCTATTGTTTTCTCTCTAGCAAATAAGAGGCTGTATGCTCATTCATGTTGTTGGTTGACTTAATTGAGCTTTAAATCAGGTCCAAGTATCATTAAGGAAACAGTGTAGCTCCCAAAAGTAATTTCAACAGCTTTTTGGGGAGTTAGGGAAGTTTTATGCAGTTCATCCTGTTGATCTGTAATGAGTATTCTCATATGGTAGCGTGGGGTTAACACCTGTTTGTCATATGATGACTATAAGCACTCTTGTATTCATGCAGGGTAATACTTCCCTAATGCCCACACTGACATATTAATTTCTTTAAAAGCAACATGAAAACAGTGAAAGTTGCTGATTTAATCTTTTGTGAGAGCAAAGACTTGAATGTAGCTACCTGTATTTGCATAGGTGTAGGGAAAAAATAATGTGAAAAGATGCTTCAGAATTCATGATTTTTATCTGAAAAGGTGTCATGTGAAATTGCATTATTGAAAATTATCAAGAGAACATTTATTACTAGTATAGAATCATTATGAAGTAAATGCAAAATTTTAAAAAACACTGTACACTTAATATGTCTAGAAAAAAATAGTGTACTTTTAGCCACTTTATGCTTTAAATACATAACTAATGCACTTTATTCCTTTGTAGCTCTGCTACGCCGTGCCACTGTACACAGTCAGCTGCAGAATTATCAATCAGCCATAGAGGATCTGAATAAAGTATTGTCTGTTGAACCAGAAAACCCTATAGCTAAGGTAGAGATCAGTGAGTTGAATATGGCTAGAAAGAGATTGTTTGCAATTGGAGCATAAAGCGAGTACAGTTTATGTTCTTTTATTTGAAGATGAGTTTTCAGGACACACTCAATCTGCTGTGCTGTTGATCAGTCTGCCAAGACCCAAGTGGTGGAAATTAGGTACTTGAATGTGATCAGATCTGTTCACGACTTAATTGTGAGAAAAAAAATCTTCTCTACTGATGTAATTTAGGTGCCTAAAAATTCGCTGTTGAACATGCTTTCAGTATTAGTGTCTTAGCTGATTAAAATTATTTGGAAATTTCTTTTAAAAAGATCTATTGCGATAGGTGCATTTAAGTTTACACATAATCAAAAGAAACATTCAAGAGAGATGCCAAGGTTTTATTGTTGTAGTGATAAAGTCAGCATAGAAGGAGAGGACCTGGGTTTTGTCCTCCCTTCAGCGTGATCCTCATCTCTCACCTCCAGGCTAGAATGAAAAGCCTTTGATACGCTCTGATAAGTCTGAATTCTTTGTAGCTAATTTTGGATCTAAGAAAGCCAAGATGCTTTCTTTGAAAATCAAGGTCAGGATGTGATCCTTGTGCTATTACTTCAGCTGTTTAGGAGAGGATTGGTTTGTGTCTGTTCATTGGTATCTTGGGGGTGTTTTGCAGGTTAGAACACAGTCCTTGCACTGGGACTCTACATGTGCTGAGAATCTTCAGTACTGGGAAGTTTTGATAGTTAACTGCTCTTTTTCTGTTATTTATGACTGTGAAAAGTTGTATCAAACAGACTGTGCTGAGACTTCTTTCAATACCAGACATAAATACTCATTTTGAGTACACTCTTCTGGAGATCTGAATGCATTAGTTCCTTTGCTGAGCAATGCTTTGGTAGCTCAGAGCAGATGTCTGTACCTTGTCCTTATCCATGCCAGCTATTGTGCCTTGGCCAGGACATCTAGAAAGGACAAGTGTTTGGCAGGGCATTTTTTTCAAGTTGCTCTTTGCTTGGAGGATCCTCAAAACCCTCTTGAGCTAAATATAAGTGTATAGAACGTATACAGAGTGCACATTTATATCCAGAATCCCTACCAGAAAAGTAAATTGATTGTCGGTAACTGGATTTCTTCAAGGTACTTTGTCCATGTGAATCCTTGCTTGATGCTGTTCTTATTTTTGCCTTGAGACAGGGAGTACTGAGATGGCACTTCCTTGCTCAGCACTGAATTAGATTCAGAATAGTGTGTAATGTTGGGTGTATCTTACTCTGCTCTGAAAGTGTAAAGTGGTTTGGGAGTTTAAGGCTTACAGTGACAGTGCAGGTTGATGGCTGAACTTTATGATCTTAAAGGTCTCTTCCAACCCTGGCAATTCTATGATTCTAAGTGCAGTTAAAATTGGGTTTTTTTGAGTAATAAAAAATGTTATGAAATGAGAAGCTGTTTGATCATGTAATTGTAGCTTTTAGAAGTAGAGCAAACCCTTTCATTATTCAGCGGTGACCTGCTATACTGTTAAGACATGATTGTCTCTTGGTTCAAGTTTTATCAGTTACATTCCTCCATCAGACATCAGATTCACCTTAGCATAAATTTTGATTTTGATTTTAGGCTATTTTGGAGATTTTGTAAAGGGCCTCTTTTCCACACGTGTCTTCTTAGTAGACCATGCCAAATATCAGAATAGTAATTTTTTTTTTCTTTCAACTTTTTTTTTATTTTGCTTAAGCAGTTAATTCAAGAAAAATGCTTATTTATTATGTCATATCTTCTGAGAGAGACAGAAATTGAGTGCTAATCTTGGTTTTGATACCAACTCTTGGGAAATTCACATTTATTTGCTCTCTTTTTTATATTGGTAACATCTTGATAGTTCTTCAGTATCTCACATGGATTATGTAATAGAACATATTTGCTATATGTAAATAATAATTTATTTACAAAATAAGAAAGGCTTCTGCTATTCTCTGTTGTAGAAAAATCTGCTGGAGATTGAAGAGAAACTGAAAGGTTTAAAGCCTGTATCTGAGACTCAAAGCAAAGGAAAAAGAATACTCATTCAAGAGATAGAGGATTCACAATGTGATGAAGAAAGAGAGGAAAATACAGAAGAATGTGAAAGAAGTGGCAGAGATAAAAGTAATGTCATATTATTTCCTTTTTTATTTTAATCTGAGGAAAAGAGCATTGCCTTTGTTATTGCAGTGTTTATTCATCCATATTTGCTTGCAAAGAATTTTGTCTCTTTGAAGACCAGAATTATACTCACTGCTTAAAGTAGATCCAAGTGTGAATCTAGAATCCAGTTCTATTACACATCTTTGGAATCCTTTTTGTATTGAATATAACAGAGACAGAGGGAACATGTTGCTATAAATCACCTACTTCCCTGTGCCCTGTGTAGTTTTATACCTGTCCTTTGATGTGGACCCAGTTACAAATATTTTTGGTGTTAAAGACATTTTGTGTTGCTTAGATCTTTCTCTCGCACAGCTCTCCTGGGTTCCCACATCACATTTTGATTCTGCATTTTTCTTCCCTTGATTGGATCAAAGGATGTAAAAATGATCAAGTGATCTGTAATTTTTGTTGTTTGTTTTGAAAATTATCAATCTTTTTTTGGTTTTTAATGAAAGGGTAATGAGGCATGACAGCAATGATTTATGTTTTCTGTGCCTATGTAGTTCTTGATCTTGAAATTAAACCAGTCTGTTAGTTTTCCAACTTAATTGTGAATGTTAGACTGTACATGTGTGATATAACGATGCATTATTTGCATACAGGTTTAAGGAAAATACATTTTTCAAAATCAGTTGGTGTTCACTAAGTCTCCTCAGCTATAACCCTGGAAGAAAGGATGGATGG